ATCTTGTGAAGTGTGCATGTGACCTGCATGATCTTGTGTTCTCTGCGTGACTTTCGGCCCGTGCAAATTGAATGCTTTAAACATTAAATTCGTGATTTCAAATTATGCTGCTCTTTATGCATTTGCCCACTGTCATATTCATGTCATTTTCACTGTGCTGTATGTAAAATGAGTGTTACCTTGGATTTATTTGAAAAATATGATTCCCAATGCACACAAACTTCCCAGAATACTGAGTGCTCTGTTGGTTACAGTTTACTTCCTTTTTAATTTATTTTTTTATTAAATATTTATTTATTTGTGAAAAATACTTTATTAAAAATACTTAAGATATTGGCATCGGCTGTAAAAAAAATAAAAATAAAATATCAGTCGACCACTAATGTGAAGTCTTTTTTTGATGTTTTCATGTGAGATGCAATGGCATATCAGCAGCACAGAGATATTGAAGTATCTGGATTTTATCCAACTTTCACTGGCAACCTTTCATTGCTGTCCTGTTCTCTAGAAATGGAAGAACTATTTTATTTTAGTGTGAAAATAGCAATAACAACATTGTATGGGAACAAACACAAACTTGTGAACTGCTCCATATTTTTTTTGACAGAACATTCTCCAACTGTCCTAGAGAAATGACTTTGTGTACGTGACCAGGAATACCCTGCACAACTAATCCTGCTTTTGGATTTTCATCTGCTTGTGTGTATTGCACATATTGTTTAATTTACTTCTATTCCTGGAAGAGTGTTTCACCTTCTGAGTAAAACGGATTATTTAGCTCACCCGCTTTCCACTCTTTAAACCAGCTCATCTTCATTTATATCCCTCCTCATTAGATTCCCTTGTTTGGGCTCTCTTTGGAGTCGTGCCCAATAATAAAATTAAATAATAAAATGTTATGTAAAGGTTTGTGCTGTCATTTATATTTAGCTGTTTTCATGGACTTGTTGTACATTAAATGACCTGTGTGTGTTTCCACAGTAATGTAGAAGATGTGGTGCATTTTCCGGGTTTACCTCCCCAGAGACAGTTAACCTATCAGGTGAAGCAGCTGATTGCCAGGGAGACAGAACTGGAGAGGATGAGGAGGGTGGAGAAAGCCCAACAGAAACGAAACCCACACAAGGTAAAATTCACACACACAGCCTGTGCACAAATATGCACACTTACATAATATATAAATATATTATAAATAATAAATAATATTTGAAAATATAATATATTATACAACAACTTATTTATTAATGTATTTATTGAGCTACTCCTAAAAAGTGAATTAAAACTGTTATATGAGGGTTTTTTTTTCTGAAAGTTTGTTGCTTTGCTTGCAAGTATGTTTTTTTTGTTTATTTTGTATGGTTGTATTTTTGTGTGTCATTAAAATATTTTTTTGTGTTTTTAAAATAATTTAAATGTTAACTAATAGCCACTCATAGACACCGCACCATTTGTTTCACCACTCATTTGTAGTGTAAACATGAAATACTTTTACATGCACGTTGATCATTTTCAGTTGGACTGCAACATGAGGACTTTGGAAATGTTTACTGTTTTGTTCAACTACAGTTGTACTAGTCTGATTTTTTGTGGAGTTGGCCTAACAGACCTATATAATATAATTGTATCTTGACTTCATCTAGTATGGACACTAGACAGCAGTGAAAGACATGTATTTAAATCCTTTATGTATTGTCATGTATACTTGCAACTATACAATGTACAGTGCCTATAGAAAGTCTTAATATCCCTTCATTTTTCTCACATTTTGTTATGTAGCATTATTATGCTTAATGTTACTGCTTTAAATTACTTATTTTCCACATAAATCTACACCCCACTCACCATAATGACAAAGCAAAATTTATCGGATTTATCACAACTTTGCAAATTTATTGAAGGGGTCATATGATGTTGCTAAAAAGAACATTATTTTGTGTATTTGGTGTAATGAAATGTGTTTATGCGGTTTAAGGTTAAAAAAACATTATTTTCCACATACTGTACATTATTGTTTCTCCTCTATGTCCCGCCTTTCTGAAACGTGTCGATTTTTACAAAGCTCATCGGTCTGAAAAGCAAGGTGTGCTCTGATTGACCAGCTATCCAGTGCGTTGTGATTGGCCGAATTCCTCAAGCGTGTGACGAAAATGTTACGTCCCTTACCATATTGTGATGCCTGCGGCAACCACATCCGAATACCTCAAGCGTGTGACGGAAATGTTATGCCCCTTACCATACTGTGATGCCGTGTCCTGGCGCGATGAGACAAAGCTGTCTCTTCCAAATACTGTCTTTTTACGCTTTGTGTTGCATTGCGCCGCGTAAACATAAAACCATGTCTGCATTTGTGATCGGAGAAACGACAAAAACTATTCACGAACAGCTTGTAACACTCCAAAGAGAAAGGAAAACTTGAATCGCATCATATGACCCCTTTAAAAAGGAAACACTGAAAAATGTCTTCATACCCTTTGCTTTGACACTTAAAATTTAGATCAGTAGCATTCCAGTTTCACTGAATCATCTTTGAGATGTTTCTGTAATCCGACTGGAGTTAACCTGTGGCAAATTCAGTTGATTGGACATGATTTGGAAAGGCACACACACCTGTCTATATAAAGTTTAACAGCTGAAATGGATGTCAGAGCAAAAGCTAAGCCATGAGGTCAAAGGAATGGCCTGCAGAGCTGAGAGACAGGATTGTGTTGAGACAGATCTGGGGAAGACTACAAAAAATTTGCTGTGTTGAAGGTTCACAGGAGCATTTGGCCTCCATAATCCTTAATGGATGAAGTTTGAAACAATCAGGACTCTTCCTAGATCTAGCCTCCTGGCCAAACTGATCAATCGAAGGAGAAGGGTCTTGGTTAGAGAAATGACCAAGACATTGATGGTCACTCTGGTTGAGCTCCATGATCTTATATGGAGATGGGAGAAACTTACAGAAGGACAAACATCACTGCGACACTCCACCAATCTGGGCTTGATGGCAAAGTGACCAAACTCAAGCTTCTCCTCAGTAAAGATACATGAAACCCTGATTGGAATTTACAAAAATACACCTAAATAACTCGGACTATGAAAAAAAAAAAAGATTCTCTGGTCTGATGAACTTCAATTCCTTATTCACGTCTGAGGGAAACCAAGCACCGCATATCACCTGCATGCAGCTAAATACAGAGATATCCTTAATGAAAACCTGGTTCAGAGTGCTCAGAACCTCAGACTGGGCTGAAAGTTTACCTTCCAACATGACAATCACCCTACGCACACAGCCAAGACAATGCAGCAGTGGCTTAGGGACGACTCTATGAATGTCCTCGAGTGGCCCAGCCAGAGCTGGGACTTGGAACCAATCAGACATCTTTGGAGAACCCTATAAATGGCTGTCCACCGATGGTCCCCAGCCAACCTGACAGAGCTTGAGATGATCTAAAGAGAAGAATGGCAAAAACAAATGCAGATGTGCAAAGCAGATGTTGCATCATTCCCCAAAAGACATGAGGCTGTAACTGTCAAAGTGCTTCAACTAAGTTTTGAGTTAAGGGTATGAAGACTTGTGCAATGTCATTTTTTCAGTGTTTCCTTTTTAATAAATTTGCAAAGTTGTGATAAATCTGGTTTTTGCTTTGTCATTATGGTGAGTGGGGTTTAGATGTATGTGGGGAAAAGTAATTTAAAGCAGTTTAACAATAACGCAACATAAGAAAATTTGAAAAAAATGAAGGGGTATGAAGACTTTCTATAGGCACTGTATAATATGCAGAGCTGTAGACAATCATGTTTCATAAACAGGATTGTGCAGATTGCAAAGTATTTGTTCTGTGTGTTCAGACAGAGGCAGTTAATAAGGTGCCAGAGGAGAAGAAAACAGAAGTGAAGAAACAAACAAGCAGGAACCATCAGCAGAGGCTGGAGAACATTGTTAAACAGACTGTGGTGGAAAGCTGGGTAAAGCATCTATATTAAACCACCTTAAATCCTTTACATCTGTCCTTAAACCTCCTATACTCATAAAAATCCCTTTTTAAAATGTATTTTCTTTAAGTGCAGTCCACCATTGAATGTTACCATAGCAAATTCAATACTGGAATCTGTGATTCACAACTTCATTCTGGCATTGTGTGAAACTGTTTTATGACTAATCAGTTTTATATTATTGCTGATAATATTTACAAATAATAAAAAAATAAATAAAAATTTGCAAATATTATATGCAATAAAAAACTGATTGCAAATGCGCCAAAAAAAGCAGTAATATTTACAAATTATAGTGCTAGTTATAGATTATTGATTGTAACCTAATTTAAAATGCCAAACCAGAGAATGTTTGTTTTTGCTTTGAAGTATTTAGTAAATTCTCCCCTTTATCCATTTTAGTGATTCTGTGCCATCATGTTATCTGATTATTCTCATACTGGCTCTCTTTGCATATGCTTGATTTATGCTTCATAATAATCCAAGATTAATTGGGTTAATAGTGGATCAGGGTCGAAGTGCTCACACGTGATAAATTGTTTATTTATCCTTTCCATGTTTATAGCCTGAATTGGATTTCTTTGGTCGAGCCATTGTACCCAAGGAGAAGCCTGTGGTCACCACTACGGGTGTGTTGTTGTTGTTTGTGTGTATATATATATAGATGCTTTTCATACTCTTGTGCAATAAATCACAGTACAAGTCTTCTGCTAAAAATGAACTGATCTCACTTTCTGCAGGTGAAGATGGCAAAGGAGCTGGAGTGGTGCATATCGGTAAAGCCGTGGGTAACAGTGACGTATGGTTTCGTTTCAATGAAGGTGTGTCCAATGCAGTGCGCAGAAACGTTTACATTCGGGAGTTACTTTAAAGTGATATGGGCGAGAAAGTGGATGAAGCCCATGTTAATTTACCACCTTAAATCAATAAATGAAAAACCAAAAATGTTCTGAACCTTGTACTGTAAAGTTAAAAAACAAACCTACAAATCTACAATATGTGAAAAAGAAAAAGCACTGGTTCCTCTTTGTTTTGTTGTTTTTTTATTGTGTTCTTGTATAGTTGTCTTACACTTTTATAAATACGTTTTCACTAAATAAGTTTTTTTCTTTTTTTCATAATGTCGTGGCATGATAAGCGTAAACAAGAAAGCAGATTTACATTTGCATGTTTGTCTGTCCTAGTCAAAGTTGGGCAGTGTAACCATGACTGTGGGTGGAGTCACTCCTGCTGCCATAGTGATGAGTGACCGCTCTTGCACTATATTATAACACATTTACTTGACTCCACCCACGGGTTGTCCTTCAGTACATCTGGATTCAGAAATGGATCCTCGTTCATTTTCTCCTCGATCCATTTAGTTAACCTGGAAATAAATGTATAATAGGAGGATAGAACTTAACACACACACACACACACAAAATATCTGTAGACTTATTATTTACTTAATTTATTTCACTAAGCTTGGAACTTCACAAATCAAAATACGTATATAAATGCTATATATTATTTTAATATTTTCAGAACAGATGTATTCAGATTTTTATACACAATGATTTGCATTTGTATATGAATATTATCTATACAAATAAAAAAATGAAGTGTGCATTTAAAAAAAAAGAGATAATTATTATTTTTATGTATTTATTTTTTAATTTCTTCACAATTTTATGACAATTGTTAAAGGTTTACAAACCCCTAGTTGGAAATCACTGGTTTGAAACAAACCAAAGCAGTAGACTTTTTACGTTTGAAACTCACTCTAGAATCGCGACGGATGTTTTCTCTCTGTTAAACTGTAGCTGCTGCTTCAGACTGTCCACATGATTCTTCAGCTGAGTCTCATCAAGCTCATCCATCTGAAATACCATCCATCCTGTTTGTTTTAATGTTACGTCCAAGTCTCAAAGCTGAATTATCTGTAAATGATAGCTAGGTAATTTTATTTCAGTATAAAATAATTGTATATAAAATATACAATTGGCCTACCGTGCTAAGTTAAGTAGCTTAGAAGTGAAGTGAAAGGGTTGTCAGGAGTCCTCCAGCAAATAGCTTGAGTTTGAATGCTTTGTTCCACTTAAGAGGAGGATGTTTAGTTTTTTTCCCTTTTGTAAATTTCTGGTTTACACAAAGGAGATTGAGATACACACCTATTTTTGAGGTTATGCAGCATTCAAACTACTTTGTTAATCAAATTATCTCTCTGCGTCGTGTGTTGTAATGGGAGGGATGTTTAGCTCATTGGACTCTGTACATCTTTGTAAAATACATGCAAAACTGCCCATTTGGCTTCAGATAGTAATTTCTAATCTTTGCCAGAGAAAATAAACTACAGAATAAATGTGATGTTATCACGAGACTACTTGTTGTTGTCACTTGATAACATCCATAAATGTTAAATGTCCCCAAAGTCATAATCAAGTCAGTGTGTTTGCCAAAAAGTTACATTTTATGATTTCTTTAATTATAGTTGTAGCATTTAAACTAACTTTTACAGTTTAACAGTTGTCATGCTTTTGACATTTGATTCTAACATAGACTACCATTCAAGGGTCAGTAAGATTTTATTGAATTGTACCATCACAGGAATAAATTGCATTTTAAAATAGTGTAAAAAATATTTTTATTGTAATATTGCAAACTATTACTGTTTTTACTGTATTTTAGTAAATGTTATCTAAAGCAGCTTGCAACAGGGAAAATGTTGGCGTAACTCTTAGCTGTACTTCCTATCATGTCTAGTTGGGATTGAAACATAACCACTCGTGCCCTCCATCATGTTTGCTGTTTGGTTAAAAGTGAAGGCATCTCTCTGTTAATGAGATCAGGAAGTGCTACGAGTGAGCGATGTTGTTAGTTGCTAAGTCTGTCTAAACCATGTCCCTTAAGCCACTTATAGTAACACAGCAAAGTCGTGTGCTCTTCGACTGTAGAGTTAAGACTTGATGTGTTCTTACAGACAGCAATGAATCCCCATAAAAATTGAAAGTGTGCTCTCTTTTCAAGAGAATATTTGCAATACAATTCAAAAATATAAACGCAACATTGTAAGGTTGCATATTTCACTTAAACTCTGGATAATCGTACATGTTTAATTTAGAGGTCAGATCATACCCTAAACAGTTGTGAATGTTCCTTCCATTGTGAACCAATAGCCGAAATGTGAAAAATCCAATACTGATTTAGTCATGGTTGTCCACTTATAAATAGTTACTGCAGAATCTGTCCAGAACTCCTAAAATACCACAAGAATGGTGATAGACTGATATGTTAGCCAGGCCAATGACTTAATGACATCATGCATTTGGCAAATGGGATTTAAATTGCATTCAAGCAATGCATTTTATTTTTAATTCATGCATTCGCTGGGAATCAAACCTATGACCTTGGCTTTGTTGGTGCCATATTATGCTGCATCAGCCAGTAATTCTGTCCATTAACAGGACATTTATTTTTCTATGAGTCAGGTTTAAAATATACCAGTAGCCTTGACAACAAATTATGTTTTCACTGTCATTGTGAAATGTAAACATTGGATGTTCAAATTTGTTTAAAATGGGTGTTGCAATTATATGTACATCCCATTTTCTGCCATTAAACTTAAGTAATAATCAGCCATAAGGCACCCAGCTCTTCAGTTGCTGGGATCAACATCAGCCATTGCAGAACCCATATCAGTTGACCACTACTCAAAACTACCACCTTTCTCAAGTCAGCACAAGTAACAGGACACGGAGCATCTGATCTGTTAAATGCTCTTCTGGCTGATTTTGTCCACTCTACCCAAGACTGTAGCTCCAGCAGCATTCTCCACCCCTCGCAACCATTCAGAACATTTCAGCAGAACGCTCTGATCCACACTCTGTTCATCTTTCTCATATTCCACGTCATCGTATCGGTGATGCTCGTTTAGAAGAGAGATCTTCACAAGTGGGATGTTGGCTCGAGAACCTGGCTTGGCAGGCAGACGGTCTTTCTGCTGTGGTGCTGTTACGGTGCCACGGATGGCACGGAGCTGCTTCTCACGGCTACGTTTCTGCAGGAGCAAGGTGGCCTCAGGAGTCAAGTTGAGAGAGAAGTTAGATTCATTATTCAGTCCATGGCCTGATCCTGATGAAGCCTGTGGACTAGAAGAGTTTGTGGGAATGTTTGTTGCTGAAATGCTGACAGGAAACATCTTCTTGCTAGAGGATTTCACTGAGGAGGTTGTTGCCAAATTGGTTGTAGAGGTACTATTGCCAGAAGTACTTTTAGAATAAGTTGGGGTCGAGGAACCTAAAGGATCAGCGGGACTTGTTGTTGTAATCCAAGTGCTTTTACCCTCCATCCTCAAGCCAGATGGGGCTCGACTGGTAGGTAGCTTACTTTTGTGTGGCGTGGCCTTGCTCAACTTCTTGAGCCGTTCCTTCACAGAACTTTTCTCTTACGCGGTCTTGACCAGAATGACAGGTGATGGTCCTGAAAGTTTCTCTTTGCCCGAGCTGGTAAGACTCCGTGGTCTTGTTACAGGCGGGAAAGGCATCTTCACCAGGTAGAGCAGCACGTAGGACAAGAATTCGGTTTTGGAGGTGTAGCGCGACAGAAAAGGGACTTGATCTTTTGCATCCTTAGGGCTACCTGTTATTTCCAGAGCCCCCAACATACACTTCTTTCTTCAGACACAGCCACTGCAGAAATAGCATGCAGGAATAGTTTAGCTCTTTATAGGGTGTTGGGAAAGGGGCTTGGCAAAGGCACGATGTGCGGATCCTCTGAAGAAGGTAAGCCTGACACGTGCAGCTTAGAGTTGCGTAACTGACTGAGATGTAAACATTCACTGCAGTAGTTGCAGTCTTGCTGAACTGTGAGATTGTTAGGGTAATAATGCATATGAGAGTTGATTGATTTACAAAGCCTTTTCCACCAGTCTTAGTCACATTGGTTAAACCATCTTTTGTGGTAAAAATGATTGTCTTGGCATTGTAGTTTCAAATACATAATCCCTACATAACTGACTGCAATAAAGGATATATTGTTGTTTGTGCGTTGCAATTTAAGATTGAAAAGACAGGCCTAGAGTTCTGTACATTACTGTAAATCAAAGTGCTTGTCAAGCATTAGTATGTGTATCTGATCCACACGTGTCCAAGCGTTTTCCCAATTAAAGGATTTTAAGAGTTTACAGAACCTAATCTCTTTTAAGAGGTCACAGTCTTTCTTACACCCAGTCTGTAACTTTATTTTTTGGGATCAGGTTAAGGGTCTCCCTGCATGCAGTAAGATTGTCATTAAAACCTGATTATGACAGCATGCAGTAGGTTATTCATGAAGTGAGGCCAAGGTTATGTCATAACCCATAAACTTCCATCAGGCAGGAGAGTCTTGTGTAGGCAGTGATGTCAATTCATTGCTCTGTATAATATATTAATCTATCACTTTTGTGGTATTTTAGGAGTTTTGCAGTAATTATTTATTGCTGTGTCGAGTTTATACTTGTATACAGTGCCTGGGGCTAAAAAGGCATCTTTATTGTTTGTTGCCCATATGAAGTAATTAGACTTCTAACTTTATATATTGCAAGTAACATGTAAAATCCAAATATTTGTTATAGTAGATATTTTGCCAGTTGATGTTTGAAAGGCTTGTTTCATGTTTACCCCCTCTGACGTCCTATAAGTAGTGAAGGGGTTCCATCAGTCATAATTTGTCTAAATATTATCAAAGAACTTATATTGACAAAAAATTGAAAGCCAACAGCCCTATGCTTCCATCCAGTCCACTAGCTTTTTGTTGTGGCAGTATTAGCTGCTTTGTAAAAAAAAAAAAAAAAAGTGCATTAAGCTGAAATCCAACCTGAATGATGATGATGACAACACAGAATAACGTACAATCACTAGTGATCATAAAATTCATTTAACAGTTTATTTTAGACTTTGTGTTTGTCTTCCATTTTTTTCACAAAACCTTTGCTCTCTAGAAACCATGTCAGTTTCAGTTTAAATTATTTTGTTCAAGTATCAGCATTATAAACACTGAATATTAATACCACTATTATAACACTATAATAAACACTATAATATAATAACACTAATACCAACATATACAATTAAATGAAGGAAATGCATCGGAAAAACTGGGAATGTTGGACAATAACAGGATTATAAAAGCTTGACAGTAAACTGTTTTTGCAGTATTGTCTTATATTAATGTCCGTTAAAGCAAGACTGTAAACAAAAAAAAACTTTTTTTTACAGCCAGTCTCAAATTAATGATTCAATTATTACAGACACAGCAATGCATCGTGTTCTATAAGATCATTATGTTTGCAGTGTGTTCCAGGGGATTAAAACATACAATATACATTTCATACCTAGTGGAGTAATAGTAATAGTAAAAGTGTAAAGTTGCATAAAAGGGAAATACTCAAAGTAGGCTAAACCTACCTTAAATGTGTACTTAATGGTTGGATTCCACAACTGATAACATAAAACATATACAAGACAATACAACATTTACTGTAGGTGTCATAAAATTTACAGATGACTAATTTGAGAAATGTTCTATTGTGCCTCTAATTTGGCTGCGAGATCTGCCAATTTTGGGTGCGTAAGATGTCGATGGATTCTGATCTGTATAAAGAGTCTAACCATGTAGGGGAGTGACTTTTTGCACTTCTCCGTGTCACACACTACTCCCCTGCACTCACTCACAATCACCATCCTACTGGTAAATATCTTCCCACCCAGCCTAACTGTGTGGATAACTGAGCTGATCTTTATTTCTTTATTCGGAAGTTAGACTCCAGAGCTATGGCTAAATCTACCAGTGCCATGCTGGGCACTTTAAGGCTCTTCTCTCCTAAGTTGAGGTCAGTGTACTGCTTGTCCTTGAGGAATGCGTACTGTGAATCAGCAGGGATATCTGTGTTCAAGATTTTATACTCCTTGCAGGGAAAATCTTCACTGATTGCGAATTTCCCCACAACCTTACTGGCCATATACCCAGCTATGTAAACCAGTACACTTCCATCATGGTCAAAGGCAAATGCTGCTGAACTTGGTGGCCTCATCTCATGTCATTCAGCAGGTCCAGGACATGTTTTGGTAGAACACCCTCACATCAGACTCCCGCACAGCATCACTGTTCTGGAAAAACAAAATACAAATATTAATTATAAGTTTTACCTAATGATATATATGTCACAAATAAAATTAGACATATTATGACAATATTAAGATTAAGTGCAGGCTTATTTACAGATGTTTGCATCTGATATATTTCTCCACTCTTTTAATCAGGTGTTCCTTAAATTTTGTCCCTTTCTGTATATTTTAGTTATCACTGACTCCTTATTAAAGGGGTCATGAACTGCCTTTGTTTTTTTATTTTTCAATTTTGAATAGGCTATTTTCTGTCCTGTTTTTAACCCCCCTCATCAGAACACACTGTTTGAATAGGTGTGGCGGATTGTAAACTCGGAAGTAAACGCCCACTGCTATGATTGGCTAAGAGTTGTGTATGTTTGACAGCGTACATTGCTTATAGATGGGTGCTGCTGTGATTTAGGTCAAAAACACATAGATGTCGGCACCGATAGCCTTGTGGGCAGCGTGCCGACATACAGCGCCATTGC